CTTTTCTACCCTCGACAACAACCTCCGAATCTCGAGACAAGACCAGCGGTGTATGGACACTCTCCTTCTCTTCAGGCAAGGCCGCCCAACCTCTCATCCTAAGCCAGAGCCGAATGAAACGCGTCGCTGCTGCCATACATCAAGAGACTGGTCTGCAAATCATGTCGGGTCTAGATATATTAGCACTTGGGACGAGTGCGGTGGCTATCGGGCCTAGTTGGCTAGACTTGACGCTTGAACCACGTACCATCCAACCATCACGAGTGTACACTTCTCGATATCGCCCTTCTACCGACGCACAACGACAGAGCCAAAGTGTGGAATTGGTCAATACGCTGACAGCTGTCGTCGAGCCAGGACTCGCACTCGGCAAGATCCCTGTAAAGACATTGCAGGAAGCATACGATGTGATGGCGATTGTTAGAGAACAAGTGTGGCTCAACTCGCTCCTCCAAGGGGCAGGTTTCAAGCCCGGTTACGGATCCCAAGACGTCGAAAGTGGAGCACCCATCACTGCTACGGGGGGAGATATATCTAAAGAGAACCAAGCTCTCAACGAAGAGGAAGCCAAAGCCATGTACGCGGCATTACTCAGCGGGTCGTACGCCTCCTCGCGGTTACGAGTGACGTACGAGGTCCTTGTGGATGATCGGACAGGGGTGCGCATCAGCTTCCCCCTCTCCGGCACGAAGGTTACGGTGGAGGTCGTGCTGGACGTGGTTAATTCTTCGAGGGGAGTGAGGGTGGTTGTGAATGGCGAGAGACAGGAGAGTATGGAGGAGGTGGTCCGACGCGGTGGATTACTCGCGTTGGTACTAGCTGTCAGAAAGTCGTTAATGAAAGCTTAGTTGTCGGAGAATACTAGCATATTACGTTTCCATTGAACTAGGGCGTAGCGACCGTGTTGTGGTGATAGTGCAGGGAAAGTGTGCTATCAATCCTCGACTGCGGCTCGTGAAACTATCGTGTAGATATTTGATTTTAATTTTTGCGCCGTCCATATGGCCGCTTTTATATACCAAGCAACTTGCCATTGACCCCCTTAGCGCTCGTTGTAACTTGCACCACTCCTAAACTTGCAAAATATTCATCTGGCGACTTGAGCTACACACTGCAAAATTTCTAGAATAATGAATCGGGAGTGTTTATCCTCGGATATGATTGGGCATGGCAGCGGGTAATGCGTGTGGTTCAGCCGTGGGTGACCATGAGGAACACTCTTCTGAGGGCCATTAGCCCATCAAGGCGACCGCTTGGATCCGAGGATCAACGAATGAACAGAATGGTCGTCGTGCCTCATCATATGCATCCTCTGTGCACTCAACCAAAGCCCACTCCCATTCCATTCCTAAACGGCAGCGTCGCCCTGATTCTCGCCTTTCGCTCGGCTAGAGATAGACAAGCGATCATGATTTACTTTCATATTGCTGGTTTTTGGGGGGCATCCGGGTGGAAGAGTTGCTTATAAAAGGGTGCCCGTCGCGAGCGCTGGTTCGCACGGCGAAGCTCCCCGTCTACCAGTTTCACTCCCCCTCCCCCAACGTATAAAACGAACGTCCCCCAGCTGTGGACAAGCGGGGGATCTTATCGGTCAATTATAAATCCTCAAATAATCACCATCAACTGGTAATAACTAATGGCCGGTCGACGGACGGCCTTTTATGTGCTCTCCCTCGCCTTGGTGCGCGGCGCTGCTGCCGCTGGAGGCCATTTGGACGAAAAAGCGGTACGTACCTCTAGTAATTACTCGCCATATCTAGCATCATGACTCATCACCTTTGTAGCGCATCACTTTGGCTTGTCTACTTGGTGGCGTTCCCGCCCTGTCCATGATCCTCCTCTTGCTCTTCTGCATTTGGATTCACAAGCGCAAGCGAAAGCTCCGCAAGCATGCCCTCGCCAATGGAATCGAGCTCGACCAAGACGGGTGGCCTGTGCCCGTACAGGTGCGCGTCGCACGCGCACTGCAGCACTCTCAGGCGAATTCCAACGCCGAACTCCCAACCTACCAGCCCCATAATCAGTATCAGTCCTCTACCAATGTTCACTCGCAGACGCATACCGCATCGAGGCCCACTGAGGATACTCATGTGGCAAATCCGGTGACGGCACCTTCTACGGATACACAACCTGAGACGAAGGTCTACCAGGTTCTTTACGACTAGGGTAGATAGGAAACGAGGCAGGTCTCTCAGAAAGGACTAGTAAATTTATGAGGTCTCGTAACACGAGTCTATTCTTCCTTGAGCTATGCTTCATGATTGCCTATGCCGCTGATTAACTCTTTGGGTGTCTGTTGTTCATGTTGTATGGTCCCTCGACGTTGGGAATACCCTGAGAGACTTTGTAGAGCCTGCGAGTGTAATAGATTACAGTTATACATCTTGCTGCGCAACATTGGGCCTCTATTGTATCTTCTATTGGGCATGAGTTCCTATCGATGTATCATGGCGGATAGAGGTGGACCGGCCAATAGGAAAGCCGCCGAGGCACTACACTCTTCGATACAACGACTCGTCAGAGTGAGGATGTTCCACTTACTCCATGAATTCCATTTGTACACCTTAGTGTATAGACCCCCGACTTACATGTATAGTATATCTTCTGTTTGCCGTCTGACACTTCGTTGTTAGTGAAAGCAATACAGTCAATTAGGATATCGCCTCAAAAGTTCGCAAAGCCGGACTATAAATAATTCGTCATCTCACTAATGCCTTCGACAATGAAGCCACCTGTCAACGATAGGACTCGAGTTTGGTCTCTATTGGTCGCCGTGAAATGAGTCTTATCAAGCGTGTCAAATTAGCTTATGGGACGACTGGTCCAAAGGCGAGATCTGGCAGTCTCCTTTCAGAGACGCCCATTCTCCAAATAAAGTTACACAACCAAGAGCCGCGTGTAGCTCGTGTGGCTGACCGTCTCTTTGGGCCACCAGTTTTGCTGAGAGTTAGAGTGGCGAATGACGACGAATCGGGTGTTGGTCCCTGCCGACTAACGTCGACATACTGCTGGCTCTTGCACACTACAACACGACATTCATTTGAATACAACCAGCATTGTAACCGCATTGTTCTGCAAGGACCGCTCGATTAGTGTGAGACGCCGAGACGCCGAGAGACCCCGGCTCATATCGTGTTGTCCACTTTTAACGTGAAGAATGCAGCCATAGCTTTGGTTCGAGAAAGCTATTCAGTCAGTCAGGGACGAGGCGATGGTCTCCCACCCTTTTTATGTGAAATTCTCCATACAGACCAGCTTTGCCACTCTCTATATACCTGCGTTGCGGATGTGGGCATCACGTCCATCAGGTACCGTTCAGTGGAAACACGAGGCTTCCACAAGGCCTGGAGTACTTATATTTACAATCTCGTTTTCACCTTTTCCTTTCCAAGCCAAGCCTCTCAACCTTTGACTTACAACAATATGAGGTGAGTCCATTAACCAAGTATTCTTCCCTTTCTGATGGTATGAATAGCGTGCTAGTTTTGGAGGGTAACATACCATGCTTCCTGCTATGGCATATACGTTGATGCCTTTCCATCAGAGACAACGGTCGAACTGACTAGTCGGGATGACTGCTTTCTGATGAATATTTCCCATCTAGTCTTGAAAATCAATAAAAATGGGCGACTCATAGACAAAGCCAACTTATTTTCTCGTGATTCAATGCCTGAAGTATGGGATGCAGATGAGCCACTCGTCTTGTAAGTCATCTATCCACAACAATGCAGCAGAATCACTCTAAAACGCCTCATATATACTAGACTAAAAGTCATTGGAGAATTTACGTTGTCGGTATCGATACAATCCGACGAGCATGACTATCAACTCATCGGCTCCATCGTACTCGATGCAGCTGAACTGTATGACATGATCGGAACACAATATGGTGAGCAGGATACCCGAGTATGTTTAAAGCTCCTAATGAGTTCATAAAACAGAGACACAGTTGCTACCGCATGAAGATTACCCTGATCTCATTCTCCGAACGACATTATTGAGTGCAGAAATTCCTCAGGAATTGATTTCGAGGGCGATTCAACGAACTAGCGAATCAAGGGAAGGTGATCTAGCCAAGATGCTCTCGGATGGATTCGCTGCATTTCGTGATTTCGAAACTCAGGGAAACCTGGACAGTCTCGAGCAGGCAATTTCAAAATTTGAAGTGCTCGCTCAGGTGACTTCGGAAGGTCATCCAGGCTTACCAGGAGTCTTGATCACCCTGGGGGAGTGTCTCCGTAGCCGATTTGAACGACTTGGGCATATACCAGACATCAACGAATCGATTAAAAGACTCGAGAGGGCAGCTGCTCTGACAGGAGATAATGATGCAAAAAAGCCCGGTTGTTTGAACCAACTCGGAATTGCTCTCGAAATTCGGTTTGGTCGATTTGGAAATGTAGCTGATATTGATGGTGCGATCATCCACAACCGAGCCGCCGTCGATCTTACTCCAGATGGCCATCCCTCTAAGCCCAGTCGTTTGAACGGCCTTGGAGCCTCTCTTGAAAGGCGGTTTGGTCGATTTGGAAATGTAGCTGATATTGATGGTGCGATCATTCACAACCAAGCGGCTGTCGATCTTACTCCAGATGGCCATCCCTCCAAGCCCGGTCATTTGAACAACCTTGGAAACGCTCTCGAAAGACGTTTCGACCGATTTGGAAATGTAGCAGATATTGATGGTGCGATCACGCACAAGCAAGCGGCCATTGATCTTACTCCAGATGGCCATCCCTCTAAGCCCGCTTGCTTGAATAACCTTGGAAGCGCTCTCAAAAGACGTTTTGACCGATCTGGAAATGTGAATGATATCGATAACGCGATCATCCACAACCAAGCGGCCGTCAATCTTACTCCAGATGGCCATCCCTCCAAGCCTGGTCGTTTGAACAACCTTGGAAACGCTCTCAAAACACGTTTCGGTCGATTTGGAAATGTAGCTGATATTAATGGTGCAATCATCCACAACCAAGCCGCCGTCGATCTTACTCCAAATGGCCATCCTGACAAGCCCGGTCGCTTGAACAACCTTGGAAACGCTCTTGAAATACGGTTTGATCGATTTGGGGATGTAGCTGATATTGATAACGCGATCGTCCACAAGCAAGCGGCCGTCGATCTTACTCCAAATGGCCATCCCTCCAAGCCCGCTCTTCTGACCAACCTTGGAATTGCTCTCGAAAGTCGGTTTGGTCGATTCGGAAATGTAGCTGATCTTGATAACACGATCAGCCACAAGCAAGCAGCCGTCGACCTTACTCCAGATGGCCATCCCTCCAAGCCCGGTCATTTGAACAACCTTGGAAACACTCTCGGAAGTCGGTTTGACCGATTTGGAAATGTAGCTGATATTGCTAGTGCAATCATCCACAACCAAGCCGCCGTCGATCTTACTCCAGACGGCCATCCTGACAAGCCCGGTCGCTTGAACAACCTTGGAAGCGCTCTTGAAATACGGTTTGGTCGATTTGGAAATGTAGCCGATATTGATAATGCGATCATGCACAAGCAAGTGGCCGTCGATCTTACTCCAAATGGCCATCCTGACAAGCCCACTCATCTGACCAACCTTGGAATCGCTCTCAAAAGTCGGTTTGGTCGATTTGGAGATGTATTTGATATTGATGGTGCAATCATCCACAACCAAGCCGCCGTCGATCTTACTCC